ACTGGCGCGCGGAGCAAAGGCTTTCCACAGACGGCGCCAACTGATGCTACAGTTTGTGAGGGTAGAATGGGTCGGACTGATCCACGCTCCTTAAGCCTATGTCTGAATGACCAAGCTCACCCAAAGACCTGCACAAGAGTTCAACGGGGAACGGGGAGTCCCCTAGCGAACCCTCCGACAAGCAAGTTTGAGAGAGAAGTGGAGTATAGAGATGGAATAGAGATATAAAAGCTTAACCTTCTTCTTGTCTTCATCGTCTGCTTATATCCTCTGGTAATCATCTCGTTGTCCCTTCCGACTTGTTACCCTGACCGAAAGTCTATGCTGTAACTTACCTTGTTCAAGGTGAGGGCGTGCTGTTCCGACGGAGAGGGCTTGTCGCAATAAATGCTGTAAGGGGCTTTATTAATGGCGACGTGCAGTGGCAATAACTTTGCAGATTTTTGCTTGTTGATGTGACTTGTCCTTCTCTTGCTATGTGTCTTGGTGTCATTGGTTCTTATTGTTGTGTGGGGCTTCAGCAGTACTGGGTTTCATTAATTGGATTTTGTATTGGGCCCTAAGTGGTGGACTTGGGTTGTTCATAGTGGGCTGTAGCCTTTATGGGCCTACCTATGTCACTTTTAAATATAGCTATATTTATAATTAATTTTAATCTATCTATTACATATCCTTATTAATATTATTATATAAATAAAAATGTTGTACGATAATTGAAATTCAAAGTCCTAATCCATTTTTTTTTCAAAATTTAAAATTGTTAAAATATATATGTTATAGTATCATTAATTTCTTCGTATTATAAATTTTATTTTAAATCTTATAAGATTTGTTTAATGACTAATATTCAATTTTTGTAAAAATATTCGAATATATTCCTTCCAAAGCAAGTCTACAAAACCATATTTTAAAACTTAAAATTATTAATATTTTTTATTTCTTTTTATTTTTGTTTTAAATAAGCATGTTAAAATATAAATAGATATCCAAATAAAATTATACTTATTAATAAATATGACATTAGTTTTAATTGTAATCACATCTTTTTAAAGTCTTTATTCATTTTTAACTTTCTTTTTGATATTTTAAATTATATATTAGGATAATTTTTTCTTACTCATTAAGTTTTTTATTTATTTTTTAATTATTTCTCTTTCAAAAACCAATATAACAATTTTTTAAAATTCATATATTTTTATTCTAAAATAGTAAAGTATTAGAACTATGTTATTTTGTTTTATAACAAAGCATAATTTTAATTGTCAATTGTCAATGCAACAATTTTAATTTAGGGTAAATTACACTTACACCTCCTGAGATTTGAGTTTAATACATATCACCCCCTGACGTTTGGAAAATTACACTAACCCTCCTGTCATTGTAATTATTTAGACGGAATGAAAACATTGAACTCACGTACTCTCTCTTTTTTTGCTTTGCTTTACTTTCTCTTTTTTTCCTCTTTCCTTTACTTTTTTTTAAAAAAATGTAATTTCCTTTATTTTTTTTATTAGGAGTTGCTACCTTTTATATAAGTAAGGAGTTTGTAAAATGAGACTATTAACCACAGGAGTGGGAATGTAATTTCCAAAACGTCAGGAGGTGGGTAGTAATTGAGCCAAACCTCAAGGAGTGTCAATGTAATTTACCCTTTAATTTATCTATACTATATATTATAGTAAAGGAATATTTATAACAAAACTCCTAAACTTATATATAAAATTTTATTTACGAGAGATAAAATACAAAAACTTAAAATAATTATCTAAATAATATATTATTTTATCTCGTGCGTAGCACGGGTGACATGTTAGTTTTTAATATATTTAAAAAAAGGGGTGATTGACCAATAAATCCTATATTTTGGACTTGTAATCCATATAGTCCCTTTTTTTTTTCTTGTGATCCATTCAGCCATTTTGGATATGTAATGACTTATTTACCCGCCACATTGGAGTGTCACATTTGAAAAAAGTACAACTAAAGAGTTTTTAGTGTCACATCATACAAGTCATGGTAGAGTGTCCCATTTGAAAAAAATACACTAAAGAGTTTTTAATTTTTTTAAAGTGTCAAATCATACCAGCCACGTTAGAATGTCACATGTCAAGTTTGGGAAAAATACACTAAGGAGTTTTTAATTTTTTTTAGAATGTTACATCATACTTACCACGTTGTCACGTTTGAGAAAAATGCACTAAGGAGTTTTTATTTTTTTTAAAGTGTCACATCATACTTGCCACGATGTTACGTTTGAAAAAAATATAGTAAGAAGTTATTATTATTTTTTTGGAGTAAAAGACTTCGAGTATCACGTCATATCCGTCACGTTGTCACATTTAGAAATTTAATTTTTTTAGAGTGTCACATCGTTGGAGTGTCATATTAATACCTGTTACATTGGAGTATCGCATCATATCTGTCATATTAATAAAAGGGTATAACTGTCTAAAAATACTACCAAAATAAAAAATAGGACCACAAGGGAAAAAAAACTTTCTACTAATAGGACTTAACAGATCAATAAAATTTTTTTAACATTAATTGAAGTAGTTGTTTGTGAGATGAAATTTTTTGATAAATATCCCTTAAATTTTTTTCCTGAAAACTTGGCTTTTCAAAATAAATAAGTAAATCCGAAATCAGTGTGAATAGTAGGGCAGGGCATATGGTTATCCGAACCGGCTAGCCCGCCTAACCCGAATTGATCAGCGTACAAATGGGCGGTTTCGTAGACACAATGTCGGTAGATGCGGTTTGGACTATGACATGATTGCAGGTTACAAGTTTAACCCGTACCCGCAAGAACCTACCCACACTTAGATTTTTTTAAAATTTTATTTTTACCTGCACTATTGTTATTTTATTATTTCATTTTGGATGAATGTAGAAGTTAATGAAAAATTACTTTTAGGTAAGTTTAGGATTTTGAATTATTTTACTTTAATTGTATTGTTGAGGAGTAGATAGTGAATGAGATTGATGATTTAGTTTAAGATTTTGAAAAATATGTTTATGTTAGTTTATGATTTGATTTAAAAATTTAGAATTTTGAATGATTTATTTGTAATAAAAATTATTTTTGTTGTGTTTTTAATTTTATAAGTTTTAATTCATTAATTATTAATGTTAGAACATTTTAAAAAATAGAGAAAAAATGACTCAAAATAAATATTTACAAAATTAAAAAAGAAGGTTTCAAAATAATTTTTTTTAAAAAAAAATCTAATCCACAAAGCACCTACATTGTTGTAAACTCTATCTACACAAATCACAATCTACCCTATGAATAATTACGAATTAAATTTTTTTCAAATCATATATATATAGATCCAAATTAATTCACAAACCCTTCAAAACTGAGTCGCGCCATTTATTTTTTATTGACGCTCCGCAATTTTCATTTTTTTCGATAAAGTGGTCGTTCGTCTCATGTGCTATTGAATGCACGTGACCCCACGATAAGCATCAATGTAACACATTACTTGTCCGTGTCTACTTTTAATAGTAGATAAAAAGTGTAGGTGTAGTCCAGGGTTTATTTATTTATTTTAATTTTTTTTAGAGTTGATTAAAAATTAATTTTTAATCAACTCTAAAAAAAATTAAAATAAATAAATAAACCCTGGACTACACCTACACTTTTTATCTACTATTAAAAGTAGACACGGACAAGTAATGTGTTACATTGATGCTTATCGTGGGGTCACGTGCATTCAATAGCACATGAGACGAACGACCACTTTATCGAAAAAAATGAAAATTGCGGAGCGTCAATTCATTAGGGTCGTCGCGACTCAGTTTTGAAGGGTTTGTGAATGACCTCTAGCATGCATGGTTGTGATTACCCTCATGATTTAACACCATCTAGGACCACATTTTAGTCCAAGAATCATGTTTGTATGTTTGCATGCATGACCTCTTTTATGCCTTAAGGGTGTACCCTCTTGTGCCTAGGAATGAGCCTTAGTGCATATGCCTCTTGGGGGTCATCTTGGCTACCATTTTAGGAGTTTATTTTTTTGGAGTCCCATTTTCCCTATATTTTTTTACATATTTTTTTTTTATAAAAAATTAAAAAATATAATTATTTAACTCATTCTAAATTTTAAAAATATGAAATTGGACTCGGGATAAGTGAGCCATCGACCATGGCCAACCCTAATCCCACACTTGGCTTAACAGATCAAATGGTACCCTTCTCTCACAGGCCCCGTTTGGTGTAGCTGTTAAAACAGTTTATAGATTATACCTTAACAGATTATAGATTATGACTTTAATCAGAAGTTGTTAATCTGTTTGGTGTAACTGTTGGATTATAGATTTAAGTTGCTGAGTAGTGTTTGTTACATAAGCTGTGAAATAGCTTTTTTAATTAATTTTTATTTTTTGTTTGTCTACATTTCTCATAAAAAATAATAATAATAATCTATAATCCATTTGAGTCTTTTTCTAATTTTAAAAACATAAAAAATAAAAAAAATTTAAGAGTATAACCATAAATTAACATGTCCACAGCAGAAATTGATAATCAGAAGCAAAGGGTAAGCAACTTCTCAGAATTAGCTTTTTTGAGTTAAAATAAGCTGTTAGAATCAGAAGCTGTTTGAAATAAATTTAACCAAACAGTCCAAAATAACTTTTTCAAAGTTAAAAACTATAAATTGACTCTGAAAAGCTGAAACAAACACCCCTTACAATAACATATGAAGAAAGGCTATGGTATATATTTTTTAAATATTTTTAAATGACGTGTATATATATATTTTATAGTTATAGAAAAAATAATATAATTTTATTATTTTTAAGTCATAATTAAAAAAAATCATAATATAAAAAAATTATAATAAAATATTTTAAAAAATATATATTTTTTTTGGGTGAATTATAATTTAAAATATTACTACAAAGAAAATGAAATAACCAACATGTATAATCGAATTCTCCTAACATGTAATGTAACATGACGATCATCGTGCATTGAAGTCTATGCAGCGCAGTTGTACACTCGTACTTTTTCTGTAACGCGTCCACCAAGTAGGCCAAAGTCTTTGAAACAGCGAAACTTCTCCATGATTTCCTATTTTTCAATTCCAATCCCAAAATCGCCTTCGAAGAAGCGAGGATTTGTAAAACAAAACAAAAACCTCAGGAAGGAGAACGGGTAAACACTCCCATATTTCTCATCCTGTAACCCCAATCGATCCCTGGTAGGTTTTCTGCGACATTCTCCATCCAAATCTTGGTTTTTTTTTGATCAATTTGAAATGGGTTATCCTAGTTTTGATCTTATATTGAATGAGTTTTGATTAATCTCCAATCTTTCTCAAATCTTGATTGAATCTTGAACTGGGTTCGATTTTCTGGTCACTTTTGTTGTTTTTTTTAGGGGAGTGTGAAATATTGATCCATGGGGGCATTGTTTAAATTGAAGAGGGTTTGATTAGTTGGTCCTTGTGGTTAGTTTATCTGCATTTGTTGATGTATCTTGATAGTGGTATAGAAAAGGATCGGCTTGTGAACGTGCCCAGCTCATTTCCGGGTGTTCTCAGGCCATTATTGGCTCTACCCTTTGAACAAAAACTGTTCTCATTTTGTGTCCAGAGAGATAGATGGGATAGAGAGTTCTTCAAACTGCAGGGTGGGTAGTGAAATTTACCTGAATTTGTAAAGGGTTTTTGGCTGGAAAGTTGGTGTTGAGTAGAAAATAGGAATAATTTGAGATGGGTTCTTCGCAAGGGTCAACTTTGTCCACAAATGTGGCTGGGTTTGTTGATGGTTCATCTGCGCCTGGGTTTGTTGATGGTTCATCTGCCCGTAATGGCATTTCGCACGTTGATAGCTTACCCGTCTATGTCAAGGAGCTAATTGCAGGAGGTGCTGCTGGGGCATTTGCAAAAACTGCAGTTGCTCCCCTGGAAAGGATTAAAATACTCTTGCAGGTGAAAGTTTTTTAATTTGTTGTCCCAGGGCCCTTAAATGTATTTAGATTTAATTGGTTCAAGCTTATTGACTCACTGTATCTAACATTTTTGTTTGCTTATCATTTTTAATTAATTAATTTTTTTTTTTGAACCTTGTTTATTTTCTTATAAAGGTTACTCTTTTATGTTAGTAAATTTCACATTGAGCATTGAAGAAGTTTCTCTCTCTCCCAAATATTTGTAATGTTTGGGGTAGAGTATGGAAATGCTAACACTAGCTGTTTCCTTTATGGAATGCACATTCAGAAGATGTAATCCCGTATTTATAAGACAGAGAGTTGAAATTAATGTTTAGGTATCTAATGGAATGGAGTCCCAAGACTACTTCAGTAGAGAGTCTTAGAGGGGATGAAGAAGCGGATAGGATCAAATACGCAATGATACAATATTAACAGGACATATTCAGTTCTATGTCTTTACATTGTTGGTTCCAATATATATATAATTTTGAAAGCAAGTGTTCACTTCTTTGTTCCAATTGCCCAATTTTCTCATTATCTACTATTTCTAAATTACTATTGCATATAAAACTACCTCATCACATTCTGACCATGTGATCTAAATCAGCCTACACCAATTGCCAAATTTTCTTAGTATCTACTATTCCTATACATTACTTTTATATTTTTCTAACTCCCTCTATCTTTGGATATTTATAGACTAGAACTGAAGGGTTCCATTCTCTTGGGGTCTATCAATCATTAAAGAAGTTACTAAAGCATGAGGGTGTTTTAGGATTCTACAAGTAAGTTTAGATTAAATTTCATTGTTCACCTTTTGATATACCTGACAATGTTGTTTAAACTCATGTTTATTATCTCTTGTAGAGGAAATGGAGCTAGTGTCCTTCGGATTGTTCCCTATGCAGCATTACATTTCATGACATATGAGCAGTATCGTGTTTGGATCTTGAACAATTACTCTGCCTTGGGAACGGGCCCCATTATAGATCTTTTAGCTGGTTCAACAGCCGGAGGAACAGCAGTTTTATGCACATATCCCTTAGATTTGGCTCGTACTAAACTTGCTTATCAGGTAAGTAGCTCATGTATATATTTTTGGATATTTTTTCCCCTTTTTATCACTTATGTTGACTATGTGTGACACTTAAAAGCATTAATCTAATTTTAGGAATACATTTTTTTATTAGCTCTAGTGTTTTACATTGTGATATTTTATCGATACATATGTAGATTTTTTAGTTTATGTACAGTATGTCATCTCAATGATCAACTGTCTAAATATGTTGTAAAAAAGGATCTTATATATTTCGTCTATATTTTGTTCTCCATTCTAATTTTGGATATATGTTATTTGTTTTAATAGCTTCCTATCTCAATGATGATGAGATGTGTTGATTATCTACTCTCTAGGTTTAGGTGTGTACTCCTACAGTTTGTGAAAGGCGAGCTTCTATATTGCCTATTCCTTTATACATTTTCATATACTTGGTTGTTTGGTCTGTGAAACCATGTGTCTGGCATATGTATGAGATCAGAACAGCACCTTTTAATGCTTTTCATAGCTTTTATTTAATTGGAGGAATCAGGAGCAATGAATATAAAAGGTCTATGAAACATGGGTACTTCGAAAAACATGCCATATCCGTATCAGGTACTTACTGGCGTATGATATCTCGTATGGTACTTGTGCATACGTACCAGGTACACGAAACACGTACCCAAGTTTTTTCTTCTTAATTTTTGGCGTATCCAGACATACCTAGTATATACCCAAGCCATATCGTACCTTAGTTGAAACAATATTTTCTTCTACTATAGAGAAAACTCCTTTCACTAGATTTCTTTTTTATTTTTTGTTTTATGCTTAACATAATTTTAAAATTAAACTATGGTTTGTAAGTTATTTAATATATTGACATTTAATTTTGATTTATGCCTTTACTTTTGGCATGAAATGTTAATTATAGGTTGGACCTTAACAAATTAATCAATTTAATTAATTTTTGTACTACTCTAAATTAAAAATAAATATTTTTTTTATAAGCATACCAAGCCGTACCACATACCTGTATCCTATTTTTTTTTTTAATTTTACCGTATCGACGTATCCGTATTGTACTAGTACCAATACTCGTGCTTGATAGTAAAAGGTGACTGCACTTACAATGTGAACGGCTGAACAGATGAACCAAGAGATGGAAATTCTAGAACATGAAAAAGTGTAGCCTTAATATGTGAGAAGATTATGGGCCACTAATTCATTTAGTTTCACTACGTTGAAAAAAAAAAAAAAAAAAAAAAAAAAAAGTGCCTGTGATAAATTATTAGTTTTAGATGTTTTTGTTTCTTATTGATATGCTCAAGGATTTTTAATGCAGCATTTATTGGTAAGTATATGTATTTTTGAAATTATAAATGAAGTTATATGATTCCCTAAGAGTTGTGAACTTGTGATTTTAAAACTATGATTTCATTATTAAATTCTGATTCCACTTGTTTTCCCATTTTTATTTTGCTAATTGTCTTTTTTTATAGGTTGTGGACACAAGAGGAAGTTTCAGGAATGGTACGAGAAGTTCTCACTTGCAGCCTGCATACAATGGCATAAAAAATGTATTAGAGAGTGTCTACAAAGAGGGGGGAGCACGTGCTCTATATCGGGGAGTAGGTATAAGATGCGCTTCTAATATAATTATTCTCAATTACATTGTATTACCATTGCACAACTATTTATGGGCATGTATGTCATATTCACTATTCAGGGTTTATTGTCAGTTATATTTAAGCTTGAATTTCTTGTTTTGTTGTCAGGTCCTACACTCATTGGTATTCTTCCTTATGCTGGTTTAAAGTTTTACATCTATGAGGAACTAAAGATGCATGTTCCCGAAGAGCACCAAAAGTCTATTGTAATGCGCCTTTCTTGCGGAGCTTTAGCTGGTTTATTTGGGCAGACCTTCACATACCCCTTAGATGTTGTTAGGCGGCAGATGCAGGTATTGCTTTGTCCACTTTTGTGCTTGTGGTTGAGTTTTCTTGGATTCATTTAGCCATGCATCTGTTTGACACACAGAATTTGGCAATAGATTCAAGATTTTAAAAATTGGCCACATTACTGCTTTATAGAATCAGCACCTAGTGACACATACATTTTGGGAAAGAGCAGATTTAGGGTTCCTGTAATGGGCCTAATGGTTATTAGAAATCCATGATGGCTCGATAGTGTTGCTTTCCAAAGTATGAATTGGAACCAGTTTGGAGTTTGGTTTGGGTACTGAGCAAAGCTTTTAAAGGTGAATGCATAACTTGAGGCGTTTTACCCCTCATGAAACAAGGCATATGCCTTGAGGCGTTGGTGGGTAAGCATTTTAAATTTTATTATTTAGTAAATAAAAGTAAAAATAAATAAATATAAAGGTGTAAATACTTTTCTCCTGAAGACATTGAATATTTCACTGCAAAAAATGAAGTTTGCCTACGCTAAAACTAAAATTGATATCCTTAGTTTTAGTGATTGAGTTTTATCACTTGAGAATTAACTTTGCTTTTTCTTGATTGGTCATTTACTTAATTTGGCCTTTAGAATATAGTTACAAAATGAGGTTCTTTTTTATTTTATTTTTTTATGTTTAAACAATCTACTAGACTAAGTTTAACAAAAGCCCAAGTCAATCTCTTCATATGCGTACTTTTCTCATATGCTTATGCGCAAAAGGCATACAAGGTGTTCCTAAGGTGCATGTCTCAATCTCAAACTGTTATGCGCAGGTCTTTGGGGAATAAAGCCTAAAAATCAAAGCCTTGATGTGTTTTATCTTAGCCTTGAGGCGAGCTTCAGTAAAGCTTTTTAAAACTTTGGTACTAAGGTTGGACCGTGCTTATTATGGACAAAGGTTGGGTTTGCGCCCCATCCTAAATCCAACCAGTTGCAGTCAGAAATTTATTGCAATTTGATGAATGCCATTATTATTTCCTATTAAAATCTATTTAACACAAATGTCTTGCAGTTCATGTTACAAGACACGTCGGTGCAACTCTATTTAGAATCTTAGCACAACTATCCTGCTAGTTGGAGACATTGGCAGCATTAAATAGGTTTTATTTTTATTTTTATTTTATTTGAAATACATTTAGTGTATGTTGTTTTCAGGTTGAACATTCAGTACAAGGTGGTGCCAGATACAAGAGCACATTGGAGGGCCTTTCCACTATTGTTCGTAATCAGGGATGGACACAATTATTTGCTGGGCTAAGCATTAACTACATTAAGGTATATTTGCTTTAATTTTATTATTAAATAATTATAACTATCTTGATATTACAATTATTTTCTGGGCCAAGCATTAACTACTTTGTTGCTGCAAAGTAGAAGATTTTTTTAGAATGTGAAAATCAGTGTTGTGAAACTTGGACTGTAAGGAAAGCAAAGAGGCTGTTTTATAGCCACTGCTCAACCATAGGATCACTTACATTATTGACACATCAATTTTATATAATAGTTGTTGTAGATAAAAATAGTAAAAAATACGAATGATAGAAAACTACCAGAGTTGAGTAACAATGAATTGAAATTAATTCTAAAATAGTGGCATTGCAAGAAGCATCTCAATTTAGCACAATTTCATGGGGGAATGTTTGCCCAAAAAAATGAAGAAAGAAAAGAAGAAGATTTAGAGAGAGATTGACTGGTAGCAGCCTTGTTGATTCTTGTTCGAACGATTGTTTTTTGGGTTCTAAGTTATTAGTCATGTGATTATTAGCATGAGAAGCAAATATAACATTTTCTTTAATTGTATCAGTTATATGCTGGCAATAATTTCTTATTATTCTCTTTTAATGGAGAATTTAATGAAAGGTTTATGATTTTGTCACCAGATTGTTCCTTCTGTTGCTATTGGTTTCACTGCATATGACATGATGAAGCTTTGGCTGAACGTACCACCTCGACAGAAATCACGATCAGTGTCCACTGCATAAATCCGTTACCGATCACTGAGATACACCATTATACATATATAAACTCGTTTATATGATTCTATGCCATTTCTACAATAGTGACAAAAGAAAGGCTTGTAATCTCCCATATGACATTGGATTTGTGATTTTCATTATTACTTGCGTGGATTACTCGGGGTGCTTGACAAAACTTTTATATTTAAAAATTGAGACACACTTTGCGTTGATGAAAATGGCAATTTTCAATTTGAGGGATTTGTTGCTATTAGAGCATGTCCAATGGTTTGTCATTGGAGCTATTATTGTTATAATTTGATAGCTGGAGAAAAAAAGTGGTACTCCAATGGCATATGTGCTAACTCAGGCATAGAATCAGCACCTAGTGACACATACATTTTGGGAAAGAGCAGACTCTCATCAAAACAAATATATTTTTGCAATATTGCCATTTTTGCAGAATTAAACACAGAAACTAGTGTGTTCAGCGGTCGTCCTGAACACAGTTTTTGTGTTTGGTTCTGCCAAAATAACATGGCATCTGACCATAGGCGTACCAATGTTATAATTCTACAATTTTTTACTGTTTATAGTCAAATTATAGCAATGGCAACATTGCCATTGCAGATGCTTGTATGTGGTTTGTTGATGGGCTTGCTTGGTAGGATTGTACAAAACACCGCCTAATTCGTTAAAATTGCACCGATTCGCATTGCACTATTTGCTAACTGCATATTAAATTTTAAAATTTATAATTCGCTTTTGAAATCGTTCTGTCCCGCCATAGTTAATATATATATATATATTAACCTTTAATGAAATATCAAAGTAAAAATGAGTGGAAAATTTAAGATACGAAATTTGTTACCAATTAGTAGTTAGATATATAAAATATATTATGTAAAATTAATCTGTGTTATATATATGAAAAATATTATGTAAATTAGTGTTATATATTATGCAAATGTTTGATAATTAGTTAGAAGAATAATGCTTGGGACCCCCTTTTGGGGGTCACCCCCTCACCCCCCTTTGCCACGTGGCAGGGGGTGATTGGAGGAGTAGGAAAAAAAAGAAAAAGAAAAAGAAAAGGTAACCAATGAGAGAGAGAGGGGGTCAAAGGGGGTGGGGGGAAAAGGGGGGATGAATCATTACTCTTAGTTAGAATATTCTTCAATTTGTCAATTCGCTCAAAATTGCTCAAAACGCAATTTGTCAATCTCAATCTGTCATTCAATTTGTAATTTTATTCTCAAATCGTTTAAATCGCTCTGCGTACACCTCTACTTGTTATTTTAGGGTAGTGATGATGTCTGTCCATAGTTTCCGTAGTAGAAAGTACGGGTAAATCACATTAACATTACTTAAAGTTTGAAAAAAATAAAAACAAATAAATAAAATTTAACGATCTACTGTTTTAATTTAATTATATTATTTTTTAGGAAAAATTAGTTTAAGGTTCTTCTCCCATTTTTAGTAATGGAAGAGATCCACAATATTATTTTTTGATGTCTAAGGTCTCTCAACCCCATACTCATATATCACAGTAAAATTTGACTTTCTCAAATCAAATCTTATTTCTCTCTCACACACAAACACTCTAAACTCTCTTTCTCTCTCTCTCTCTCTTGATGATTTTCGATTTTGGGTCGAGTGAGAAACGAACTTGCAAAGCTCTCAAAGACATTAGAAGAACAAAACGGAGAGAGACCCAGTATGTGATTGAGAACCAGAATGATCAATTTATAGAATTTGATTGTAAATAGACATAGTCTAAGGCACGAGAAGAATGTTGAGGGAAGAACCAGAGAAGTCACCGATATAAGGAGGAGAAGAAAGAGCAAAGCTTCGATTGGGTATGCCTCTCATGGAGGACTGGGATGATTTTTTTGTAGTGAAACGGAGGAATGAGATTGTCGGTGATTGAGTGAGGAGGTGAAGATGGGTGAACGAAGTTGGTTCTCGCCTTTACTCCACGTATCGCTCGAGCGGCATAGTCGTAAGCGCACGCCGCATCCTCTGCTATGTCAAAGGTACTAGATTTAGTCACTGTGTGAATTTTCTCTGGATTTGGTCATCAACTTCTCTTGATGTTGCCAACAAAGATCTACACCACTTTTTTATTCTTCAATTGTTATGGGTAAGTGAAATCAGAAACATAAAAACAGAGATTTCATCACAGAAGCAAATGTATGTATTTAATCTATTTGTAATTAAATGTATGTAAATGCCAATTGCAATGATCAATATGGGCTTGGTGGTTATGTCAACCATTATAGCTATTGAAGGAGCTTGAATCGAATTGCAGTGGTTGTATTGAAATAGATTTGATGTGGGTTTTAAAGGAATTTTCTTTGGTTTGGTCAAAAGTACAGAGAAAATTCTCTCAACTACATTAACAAACAACATTGAACCCAGTATCAAAACATTAGAGAAATTCTCTAGCCTTTCCATGGATGTGGAATTTGTGTGAATTTTTTTTGGATTTCTAGTTTTGTATTACAGTTTTGTTGTGTGCCATTATTGTTATTGAAGGAGCTTGAATTGAATTGTAATGGTTGTATCGAAATGGATTAATATGGGTTTTAAAGGGATTTTCTCTGGTTCAGTAAAAAATATAGAGGAAATTCTGATCTAGAGAAAATTCTTTCAACCACATTAACAAACAACATTAAACCCAGTACCAAAACATCAGAGAAATTCTTTAGTCTTTCTAGAATTTCTCTAGATCGGAATTTTCTCTGGATATGGGATTTGTGTGAATTTTCTCTAGATTTCTAGTTTTGTATTACAGTTTTGCTGTGTGCCATTGTTGCTATTGAAGGAACTTGAATTGAATTGCAGTGATTGTATTAAAATGGATTTAATGTGGGTTTTAAATGAATTTTCTCTGGTTCGGTAAAAAATACAAAGAAAATTTTGATCTAGAGAAAATTCTCTTAACCACATTAACAAACAACATTGAACCCAGTATCAAAATATCAGAGAAATTCTCTAGTCTTTTTAGAATTTTTCTAGATCAAAATTTTCTTTGGATGTGGAAATTGTGTGAATTTTCTTTGGATTTCTAGTTTTGTATTACTGGTTTTGAATTTCTGGGTTTAATTTTCTCTATGTTGTTCAATTTTCTCTGATTGAACTCAGAGAAATTTGAATTTTCTTTAGTTTGAACCTAGAGAAATTCTTTAGAAAGTCCAGAATTTATCTGGATTGAAATTTCTCTAAATTAATGTTGAGGGACTTTAGACATTATGAAAATGTTGAATATCCTATATGTTATAAAATTTTAATATCAGATACCCTAAAAAAAAAAATTTCCTATTTTCTATAATAGTAATCGTTGAATAAACAAAGTGATGTAATTGCACTAGTCACAAAAACACGATGTGATGCAGTGTAGTAGAGGAGTACATGTTGGCCGAGATCAACTAGCCCCAATAAGATCCAATGGATTTATTTGTTTGGGCTGTTATGGACTTGAATTTGGAAAAATTTTAATGCCGTCATTCTAGAGTACTCTTAATAAGAGAATTGAGGGTCATCGATGTTTTCAAATTTGGGTGAAACCAATTGTTTTGATCACGTTTTTGGCATGCTGTTGTATTGTGAAATTTTTTATTTTATGTTCAACTTAAGTTTTTGGTCGGTTTTAGAAATTATTTCATTTTATTTAGCATAGGAATTAGTTTATTTTTTCATTAATTTTAGAATTGATTTTTCTATATATAAATCAGTTACGTGAAAAATAAATTTTGATTATTAATAAAATTTGATATTATTTGTATTTTTTCCTAGGTATTTTGTATGAATTAATTGATTGTTAATTCTACAATTTATTATAATACCGAGGTGTCTTCAATATTACAATGACGATGATAATGTGTAGCTTGACTTTTCGTACTCCTTTTGGAACGCAAGCCTGAGCGATTTTTCTTTTATCTCAGGATGCGCGAAGTGCGGCCTTAGGCGGGTTTTATCTTGGGATGCGTGAAACGTGACCCCGAGTTATTTTACTTGTTTCTCAAGACGCGTGAAGCGCGACCCTGGGCGTGTTTTATCTTTGGACCCGTGAAACGCGAGCCTGAATAATTTTCTTCTATCTCAAGATGTGTGAAGCACGGCCTTGAGCATGTTTTATCTCGAGACCCGTGAAATGCGAGCAAGAGCGATTTTTCTTCTATCTTAGGACGTGTGAAGCGCGGCCCTGAGCGGGTTTTATCTTGAGATGTGTGAAACACAACCTCGAGCGATTTTTGTTTCCCAATTTCTTAAGATGCATGAAACGTGACCTTGAGCAGTGTTTTCTTTCCTCGTCTCGCGTTTTGGCGTGGTTAGAGTGTGTTTTAGATCTTTTTGCATGGAACCTGTATTGGTTTTATGCTTGAAGCTACCTATTCATGTGTTGTTATCTTGTTGCCTTGGTTATCGCATCTATTATTGCTTATTGCATCATCTTGCATGATCATGAGTTTTCAAAATAGTCGGGTTCACGAAGCGTGTGAGTCCAGTTTTCAAAATTTTCTTCATGCATATCATTTGCATCTTGCTCCAGAACTATGTTGGTTTGATTCCTTGCAAAGGGATACGTAGGCAACTTGCGAGTGCAACCATTTAATTTATGTCTTGATTGTTTGTCCAAGTCTTACGGCCTTGTCAAAATGGATCGTCTTCGGGCTTTGACCTTTACTCACGCCATTTCATGACTTCGAGTTTTGTCAAAGAAGGACAACTGTAGACACCCCATTTTTGATTGCCCTTATGACTTAGATCCCATCACTTGCACACCCAATGATGAATGTGTATGCTTGTCAAGTGCTCGAAGTCCCCAGCAGAATGCTACAGATTTGAGCCTTCAAATCCTATACACATCTTGCCTTGTTTTGGACCACTACCATAGTTCTTTAAGCCTGAAAAACCTTGGGACCTGCCGACGACCACTGTTGGCTGCCGGCCACTTGTGTGGCCTGCTGGCCACAAGTGTGTTTTAGCATATATGTTTGCCAGTTGTTATCACAGATGTATGCACTTGCTTACACGCATATGTATTGATATTTCTGAGGGAGTTTAATGTTTGTCTATATATAAAGTACCTCCCCTCTTGCTTTCAAGGTTGGAAAATTTTGGAGCAAATTATTTTCTCTCTCTCTCTTGCTAGTTATTGAACCTTTGCTTATACACTCTAAACCAAACCTTGCCATCTTTGAGTTGAGGCACTTTTGGGCCTACTTTGAGCTCTTGGGGGTGTGTATGTGTTGA